CTGAAACATTAACCTGAAATAGAATATGGAGCCATAAATGAATCTCTAGTTACACCCTCTAGAGTTCGAAAAACCAAGATTTACAGAAACCATTGTGTTGCCTTGGGTAGCAAATTCCTGACTGTTATCCTAACTAAAAGAGAAGTTAACTATTCTCGTGAACATCCAGCAAAGGTTAACGAGTACCTTTTTAGCATGATGCTCAGGAACTTGTACCTCCTTGTATTTAGCATCGGAAACTATAACATTCACTTTCAGAGAAGTCTCTCCATCATTTTGGATCAGAAGATATTGTTCCACCATCGCTGTGAGAAAATAATCTTTTAGCAATACTGGCTTCGGAAGGATAACATTAACTGAAGTTACACTGAATTTTAACTCCCCGAGGGGGGAAATTGTTTGAAACAGTCATCTCATCAACGTTTGAAAGACAGGTATGGCATGGAGGTGATGTTAAAAAGGGCTAAAGGGGGGAAAAGCACCAGTTAATGAAAACACGAACCTTGGTATAAAAGAACATTAGTATTAGTGTCAGGAGGTTTTCTGAGTATGGAGAAACAAGATTACGAAAACAATCAGTTTAAAGTAAAAGGATTAAGTGGTATAAGATAAAAGGATCAAACTAGCACATTAAGACTACTAGTACTTCTTTTAGGATACAAAGCTAGCAACTACTTGTTTCTGTCTCCAACACTTCATGGTCATGGTGTATTTTTTCCTTCACGCTTGACCTCCCACTTCCCAGCCGTTTAGCTTATTAGAACGCACGAAAGACATCACCTAAATTAAGTAATTTTGTGAGACTGCACATCATCTCACAAAATTACTCACATCCCCATTTGCAGCTAGATGAGAAAAATTTTGTTGAAAATGAAGGTCACTAATGAACTGCTCCTGAGCAAAGTTCTTGGCAAGCATGGTTGGTTATTTTGAATGAAAAACTCCCAAATATGTGGAAATGTCATTATCAAGCTGCTTACAAGACTTCTAAATGATTAAAAAATCATCATCGTGACTCATGAGCATACAGTAGTCTTCAAATAAATCAAGAGCAATGCCTTCTCCTTTCAAAGTTAGCAATAAGATTATTTCCCGCATTTTCAAGTTATTGGCTCCAGATTGATGTTCGATCACAAATCTAATATATCCAAGAAAGCCTGTCCCTAGACCTTGGAATTTTGGAATCTTGGTGAAAAACATTGGACAAATGGGATTGAATTACTTTTGCATTAAATAACTTTCCCTTTCGTTGAATGCCTAACCTAGACCATACAACAGTTGATTGTAGGTGCTCGTCTGTTGCTCAGCTGCCCACATACAAATACCAGAAACCATCCTCTTGCAGTGAAAAGGTTGGCACTTGACCAAGTTTTAGCTAGGCCAAATAGATGGGTCAAAAACCCAGGTCAAAACCAACAACCAACCAAAACTGAAAAACTAACAGAATTTCTTTGTCCCACATTGGTTGGGGAGGAGAACAAATCACCCTTTATAAGGGTGTGGAAACCTTCCCCTAGCAGACGCGTTTTAAAGCCTTGAGGGGAAGCCCAAAGGGAAAGCCCAAAGAGGACAATATCTGCTAGCAGTGGATCTGGGTCGTTACAAATGGTATCAGAGCCAGTCACCGGACGATGTGCCGGCCTTCTTGCTGTTCCCCAAAGGGGGGTAGACACGAGGCGGTGTGCCAGTAAGGATGCTGGGCCCCAAATGGGGGTGGATTTGGGGGCGGTCCCACATTGATTGGATAAAGGAACGAGTGCCAGCGAGGACGCTGGGCCCCGAAGGGGGTGGATTGTAATGTCCCACATTGGTTGGGGAGGAGAACAAATCACTCTTTATAAGGGTGTGGAAACCTTCCCCTAGCAAACGCGTTTTAAAACCTTGAGGGGAAGCCCAAAGGGAAAGCCCAAAGAGAACAATATCTGCTAGCGGTGGATCTGGGTCATTACAATTTCAGTTTGATTAGGTACCAATAAGGTTAGTTATAGTCGAATTTTAAAATAGAAAAGTCAAGTCAATTTCAGTTAGTTGGATTTTGGTCTGTTTAATTGGAATTAGAACTTAGCTTTTAAAATTTTTATGCCATTATGGTTAGTTCAGCATTGCTTTTCATTGAAAAAAAAATTTAAAAAAACCTGAGGAATTGAACGAGTAATACCCTTAAGGCAACCCATCAGCAACACCCTTAAGGCCTGATCGATATTTATATTCAAAGTATTGCAGTTGCCTATGAAGTGCATACTTGCTAGGACCAATTCTTAAGAGAGGTGGCTTGGAAGCACTAAACCTGGCACCAAGTCCATGAGATTTTTCAAGTCTTGCAATTACGGCAGTCCATTTGGTATTTTCTATAAGGACATTCCAATATTCCTTCCAACCAAGGTTTCCTTTTATCCTGCCAACCTCCAATACAATCTATAAGGTTTGAAGTTTTTAACCACTATTCTAAGCAGATATTCGTTCCAAATTTCAGAAATCCTTGGCAGGAAACTATGCTTCACAACATAGCTATGATATTGGTAAATAAGGCCCTGCCCGCTAACTATCTATCCCTTCTGGATTTCCATTCTTACCCCTCCTATCGTAGGCATATAGTGACACGGAAAAGGACATTCCATGGTTTTTGAAGGGGAAAGTGGTCAGCGGTGTGGAACTTTGGGGAAAATTGTCGCCTGGGAGGAGAGGAACCAACTCTCTCGAATAGGAGTTATCTTTGTCTTTTCAACTTAATATTTCTGTTTTGTTGTAATTTCGGTGTTGAGAAAGTTGAACTCTTGCAGGAATTCCTCAATAGAACAGTGTTCTTGTCTATGGCTGCTTGAGTGTGTTTTATTGATACTTGAAGGTTCGAAGGGGGAACCCAACACATCACTGTTATCACCCCAACCAATGAACTCGCTAATAATCCCCTTTCCCCTATGAACACTTTGCACGATACAAGCATTGACAGCCTAATAGAATAAGGCAAATATTCGTATCACGGACAATTCAATCACTTGGGCCTTTAAAAGCATTCCTAACTGACAATGGGACGATAGAGTTCCCTCTCAGGAAAATTTCCCCACCACTTTTGATCCTAATAACCACGTACAAATCAATAACAATTAGGTAATGAAAAATTGTTGGTTCACAATACATGATCATAAGCAACTTGTTGGAACTGTGAATCAGCAAGGTTGTTACAGGTATTGAGCTGATAGAACTCTTCAATGTATTTGAGTACATTACAGACATCCTGCTACTATCACGAAATGCTTCCTATAGTAACTATTTATGTTTCCCTCATAAACTTAAGCTAATTGGAAAATAACCCCTCACATCCCCTAGCTTCTAGTTCTAACCAAAGCTGGCTTCATTGGCAGGGTTACTAAAAGTAACATCGTTGCAAGTAAGAGGCGCTATTATCAGCAAAATAACAACTACATATTAAGTTCGCAAGAGAAAGATTTAAAAAAAAAGGGATATATAGCAAGAGAAATTCGCAAACAAAAAATCCCACTTCGGTAACCAATACGCATAGAACATCATGGGAAGTGTGTTCGTTCTATATTAAAAAGAGGTGCAATCTTCTCAAATCACAGGCTTAATTTATTTGCAGAGAAAAGCAACTCATGATAGAAGCTAAAAAGGAAGAAAAACGCAATTACCTTGTTCTGCGAACTGAAGGCATGCAGTCATTTTCTTAAGGTCGTGGCAAGTCTTGTTCCTGTCGCACTTCTCCAAGGTAAAACCATCAGTTGAACTGGGAAATGGAGGAATTGCAGGAGTTGGAGAACTTATCGGGACGCCCCCAATCAATTTGCCATTGATAACAGAGCTAGGACCAGGAGCTGGAGCTATACGCTAAAAAAAACGAAAAGGAGAAATATAAGTTTCAAAGTACAATCCAAAAGATACACTAAAATCAATAGATGAAAAGAGGAGATCCAAATCCAATTCAAACAGACCTCGGGAGAATCCTTCGAAAGCGAGAAGCGGAGATGAAGATTCCAAATACGGTCAGAGAGAGAAGCATCGGATCCAGGAGAGACGAGAATGAGAACAAAGAACACGAATACGAGCACCAAATCACGATTCATCGCCGCGAAAGATCTGCCGCCTTTCTACGACGGGTGAATCAAGCAGAACCGCGATGAACTCGAGATGGCGGAAACACGCCACATTGTTGAAGATTTTGAATTCAACGAGGAAAGTACGTGGAAGGAGAAGTCGTCGATGGAAAAGTCAAATCAACGAAATATGGAAACGCGAGCACAGTCTCTTTCCTTCTTCCTCGTTACGTCCGGAGAGACGGCGTGGTCCGATGAGGCTCCGTTTTAAAATTATTTATCAAAAAATAATTTAATTAGTAAACAATATTCCTTCCTCCATGGACATTTTCAAACGAAAAAAAAAAAAAAAAAAAAAGTCAATTATCAAAATTAAAATTACATTTTTTTACTTCGGAAATTCAAGAATTAAAAATGTAAAACATGCGAATAAAATTGTTGAAAATTCAATAAATAAAATTATTGAACTTGAAAATCCAACTTAAACTAAAAAATATATATATATAAGACTTGGTTAAAATACTAATTTAATTAAAAAATTAAGATGGTAAAGGCCCAAATTAATGACGTTTATATTGGGTTGACCAAATTAATTAACTATTATGAATAAATAAAATAATTAATTGAATCTAAACAGAACTATACACAATAATTCAATTTTATTCACAAAAAACATTTTTTTTATTTTTAGATTATCTACTAAATACATTTAAAATTACAACTCAATATTATGTTTGCTATTTGAACTATTACGAACGAAAAGGCAGCTTGGATGAGAAAATAAATAAGGTTGGAAATAACTAATTAGATATTAAAATTAAAGTAATTAACAATAAAAACTAGAAATAACTAATTCTCTCTCTCTCTCTCTCGCTCTCTCTCTCCCCTGCTTCCGTCTCCCATGAGAGAGAAGAAAATCTGGGAATGGTTTTTCGATCGAAAGGGAGTAAGGAAATAAAAATTGTATGAACCATTATTACTTCACAAGTGTGTGTTATTACGTATTGAATTGAATTGGAATTATGAGTGTAGCAACCGCATCTGCTTCATCTCTTACTGATTCTGCACCAACCAACAATTCTGAAGCTGCGATTTGGTCGTCTCTCTGAAATTCTTAACCCTAACCAGACAGAAATGCGTGCACCACATCCCTAGCCCCGCCGCTCTACTCGTCTTCAACAGGTAACAAACCGGCGCACCACGTTCAACGCCTCTGCCTTGTATTACAATCCCCCACGCTTTCGACTCGCCGTCCTCGTAATCCTCGTCTTCAAGCTCTTCAACGAACATGATGCCTTCCGGCGTCGGCGTCGATCCGCTTTTCCATTGCTTCTCTAAGATCGGCCAACGATCTTCCTCCACCGCCTTCTCCGTTTCGAATCTCGCCGCTTCGCCGTCCTCATCCGTCGTGTAAACTCGTAGAAACAGAGGCGCTTCTCGAAGATTTTTTACAATGTTAACTACCGATTCCTTCATCCATTCATCGAACTTATCGCGAGAAATCACCTCGTTGCTGTCTGTTCTCTCCTTCACATGGCGATTCACCGGCTGCAAACTCTTCAATATAGAAACGGAACTGCTCGATTTCCTCAATCCTCCGGTGGAAACCGCCAAAGAACGAGGACCTGCTTTCTGATCACATCCGTCGTGAACATTCACATAACGACGGTCTAATACACCGCAATTTCCTCCACATCGAATTCCTAAAGAAGCCATTTGATATCTCGAACTCTGCAGCGGATAGGCAAAAACAAGAAATGAGCAATTGGCCGATGGGGAAGACGATGGCCTTCCCTTCTTGGAATTGCTTTTCGATTGAAAACGATTGTGGTTGAAGCAGACGGCGTGGTGGAGGCAACGAGACTGGATAAATCGAAGGGATTAAATTCAGTTCCGAAAAGGATCAAACCAATCGCGCAACTCGAAAACGAAACTAGAAATTTGTTGGCATTTAAATGGTCAAATTTGGTTTGCTTTTTTTGTTCTGATTTTGATCAGAGAGAAGTCCCGGTAGTCTTAAACTCGTCGGCTTCGGGTCTTCTTTCACCACTCAGAATTCCGACTTTGTTATGCTTCTCTGTGATATGCATCATTTTATTTCCGTGCAACCGCCTTCATTTCCCATTTCAAATGACGATCTTAACCTCACGTGGTCTTGATGTCGAATGGGATTGGTGGAGTTCTGGTGGTTACGGTGGAGGTTGATGTAGGGAATTTATGGCGTGTTCAGTGAGGAAACTGCCACGAGGTCCAGCAAAAAAGAACGTGGACTTGGGGGGGTTTCCACGAGTTTTACACGCGAAAATAAGGTGAATTAAAAGGAATTTAAAAGGGTAACACGCTGAGACTTTTGATCGTGGCCGTTGATTCATTAGCGATGAGTGGGTCCTACGTGGATGGGGATGAGTTGCTGACATGGCGCGTGGTGGCATGAGGAATATGCATGGAGTTCAATAGCGCCCACGCTTCTTGGCCTCTGCCTTCGGTGAATCCTGACCAATCAAATCTGTTTTGAATCCATGTCGGCATATCCATGCTGACTCATCAGCAGTGATGGAGCTTGCACAGAAATAAAGATCGACTGCTTTACGCATCGGGAAATTAATATCAATTTACGCTTTTTAATTATAAATTTAAAAAAATATCCGAATTTTAATCCATCTAAAAATTTATTTTTTCAATGATCAATAATTAATAACACTTATTTAATATTATCAAATTAATTTAAAATTAAAATTAGTTCTTGAATTGGCAAAAATAAAAATTGACACTTATTTAAGGCCTTTTCAACGTGTGGGCTTTATGGAGTCTATGGGCCTGAGTGTGGACATATTTGAGTTGAGGATTATATATATATATATATATATATATTAATAATTATTATCCATTTTATTGTTCCTTTAATTTTGTAATTTGCTTTTGTCCTTTGGTTTAGGGTTTAGAGAAAGGTATGGTTGGAAATGGCTTTCTCAAATAAATCCCATCAATGGAATGGCATCCCATTTATGTTGTGTGGGCCCCGTGATGCCATTTTCTTTTTCCAATTTTTGTATTAATGGTTGTTAAATTTGAGCTTATGAAAGACACATTTCTACTCACCAAACTACATTAAATTCAATTAATTATACAACCCTATTCTACTTTAATTATGTTTATTTGACAAGGATGGGTCACAATTTAAAAATTCTTTCACTCTCTAATTCGTCTAAAGTTTCTGTCGATCTAACTATATATAATAAATGTTTAGATTTGTATCAACTTGAGCATAATTCAATTAGTTAACCCATCACATATTCACTATCAAAATATTTGTAAGATCTCATATCGATGGGAGGAGAGAACAAAAATATTTCTTATAAAGTATGAAAACCTCTCTCTAACATAGACATCTTAAAATCATGAGCCTGACCCCGAAATATTATGGGCCAAAGCGGATAATATCTATTGGAGATGACCTTGGACTATTACAAATGGTGTTAGACTTGAACGCTGTACCAGCGAGGACATTGGACCTCCAAATTAGATAAACTGTGAGATCTCAATATTTGGGTATGAAAATTTTCTTAACAACCAGTTTTAAAAATCTGAGGAAACCCAGAAAAAATTAAAACTAAAAGTCTAAATATAAAATGAGCAGTTAAAAATTTAAACAATAATGAAATGGCATGTTCCTATGGGTTCACTATTTATTTATTTATTTATTATTTTGTTTAAAGGAATCTTAAATGGACTCTTTCTCAATCCATAGTCAAATTTTCTTTAATATAATTTAAAAAAATATTATAAAAAAAAAAAAACGATTGAATATATACACATACACACTTTAATTTATAAAACCACACATTGAACTTTATGAATTAAAATAATACCTTATCTTATATCGAAATAGATTGTCGAACAATTATTTAATTGTTAGATTTTGTTGCTCTCCTTAAATTGAACCCGATGTTTATTTTGACAATACGATTGGAAGTATTGAGCAAATACGCCCCTTTCTCTATCTCTTAAAACATTAAATTCAATTAAAAGCGTAAGATTTTTAAAATTACAATTTTATAAAAATGTCATTAATATAATGATTATATTAGAACATAGCAAGTAATTTAGAACGACATAGCGAATGAGTTTGAATAATCTAATTTTCTCAAAATTTGCAAATTATATTTATTGTTCACAAGGCAACCATTAATTATATTGATTATTGTATAATCCAGATTATTACCCAAAAGAAGAGTTTAAAAACTGCAAACAATTAAAGAATTTATGTGCAAATGGAAATGGCAGCCCTTGAAATCAGCTGATTTGATCTATGGGTATCGAGATCTCACCTTGGCCGCTAGCTGATGAATTTCCGGCGGGTCGGTTTCCGGCGTCGGCTTCCGTTGATTCAGAAGCTGACTGTTGTTCGAACAGCGATTGACGACACGTCGGACACGACGAGTGGGAAGCCAACCAGGTATCGATACATCGGACGTGAAATCCGTGGTTACATTTTGGAAGCACTTTGATTTTCTCTCCGGCGATGAAATCTCCCAGGCAGATAGGGCAATCCGTTTCTCGAATCCCTAGACCCGACTCCGACCCGTATACGGTGACCGGAAGTTTGCGTAATGCGCTTTTCTTCAGCCCTGTTGCGGCGAGGCGCGAGGCTGTGCCGCCGCCTGTCTCGAAGGAGAATCGTCGGCTGCAGCGGAAGGCGCACCGGACGATTGAGTTCAATCCTAGAGCGCAAATCAGTGCGCAGAGTAACGCGGCAAGGATTATCACCATGTTCGTGTCGAAATTGGCTTCGTTGGTATACGAATTTCGCGTTCTGCTTCCATTCGACGGCGCCTCCGTCGTGTTGGCGTCGAGGAGGAGGCGGTGGGGACGGGGACGGTGGTGATCGGACACCATCGCCATAGGAGCAGCAAACAACTTCAAAACAACAGCAGGACTGATGCTGCCAAAGGTAATTTTCTTTAGATCTTCAACCTGTTTGATGAAATTCCGCAGTGAAACTTGATAATTCAAAACCCCTTAGTTCTTTGATGAGCGAATCTAACAACAAGAGAGACTGAAAATAGAAAGTTCATATCACTCATGTGCCAATCAAACCCTTGTGTTCTCTGTTCCTGATCTGCCTTCAACTAGAAAGAACGATGAACAATGATCCTTTAAGAGTTAAATCAAACAATTCTTAGTATTCCAACGAAGTTTCAAAGCATCTTACAAGTCAGTGGCCACTCAAAAAACCAATACCCAACAACATGCCAAACAATAGTATCCATGGCTGCAAAAAGCTCTAGTTCCCATGGCGAACCTTCTCAAAGAAACAAATCAGGATAAAACATCAAAAGAACTGAAACAACACCCAAACAGCCCCACTGTAAGAAACTAAGAACTCCCAGATAGAATTTTGCAGTGGCCAAAGAAGAGAGGAAGAGAAGAAAATCATAGAAAGGGGGTGGGGGTATTTGAATAGAAGCAAAGGAGAGAGAGATGAGTAGAATTGGGATATGGACAAGAAAATTAACAGCAAAAAAAAGGGTTTATTGTAGTGACACATAAAGGTAAAGGGGGTGAGATGGGGTAGGCAATAATTAGAAGAAAATGGAGGTTTCATTATTAATTGAGAAGAACAGAGACAAAAAAACAGGGCTGTAAATGGGTACCCGATCCTCGATTAATCAAAAGATTAGACAGTATAAATAAATGCTGATTCTTAGCACAAAATCTTTCTCTTACTCTTCCTTTTTATTGTCATCTTTTTGCTTTCAAACTTCAAAAAGTTGAAGTAAGCTGTCACTTTGGCTTGGGGCAGTGGCAAATGTTCCACCCAAACTCTCTGTCTGGGTAACATTTGATGTCCTACTAGGTTGTTTCTTTCTCTGGTTCATATGGTTTTTACTTTAAGATTACATTGCCTTTCCTTTCCTTCCCTTCCCATCTCTTACGAGATCCATACCAATTGAGCAGGAGAACGAATCATACCTTATAAGAGTGTGAAAATCTTTTTTTAATAGATGTGTTTTAAAACCGTGAAGCTAACGACGATACGTAAGGACCAAAATGGATTGCTACAAATGGTATTAGAGCTAGTTAATGTACAGTGCGAGACACTGGTCGGAATAGGGTTTGACCCTCTTCATAGTATACGCGTTTCAAAACGTGAGGCTGACAACAATACATAACGGACCAAAACGAACGATACTTGTGGGCTTGAATTGGTACATTCCTCCCACATCCACATCTAACTGTGTATGGAAATAACATGTTTATGTGAGGAGAAAATGAAAAGGCAAATTTGATAAGTATTTATGGGAAGGAGTATTTTATTGATAAGGACTAATGTGAGAAAGGGAAGACATTTAGGAATCGAAGGGCAATTGATGAACGGCTGTGGGGCATTGTCGATGAAACGAAGCCAAAGAGGCACATGGAGGTCACGTGGCTGAGGGAAGCTTTGTCTATGGCTCACTCAATATTCACTCGGATTTCCCACCCACTTAAAGGTAAATAAATCTCTAATTTAGTTTGACTAACTCCTCTAAACTTCTTCGTCATTATGATTTTTTTTTTTTTTTTTTTTTTTTTTTTGTTGCCCATTTTGAGTAATTTGATTGGCTTGGAATGAAATCGATCATGGTAAATAGATATATCGTCATTCATACGGTTTAGGGTCTAGAGTAGAAGAATTGTGATATACCGAGTTATTTGTGGATGTTGCGATATTGTGATAATTCGATGAGTGGGGATTAGGAACGTGTTGGGGTATTATTTTTTTAGTAGCCCGATGCAACACAAAGTATGAAATTTTCTTTGCAATCTCTATGTGTTTTAGGGGCCACAAATTTCACTCGTGACTTCAGATGTGCTTCATCTCATATATATGCTCATAATTGAATGTCAGTCTTTCACTGGGTGTCCGATGAGACCAAAGTTGAACCTAATCGTTAAGCTCAATGGTTGTGTATGTACTCCACTGAGTAGAACAAGGGATCGTAGTTAAACATACAAAGGAAAGGGATAGTCGTCTTCAGGTAGAGAGTCAACCCAGCTAGCACACCAATTATAACATTCAACCACCAAGATTCAGAAAAAGAAAAAAAAGAGGGTCGAAGGCTTGATCGTATATTTTATACTAGTTAGGACCAGTGCGGTCATATTTTGTAGTAGGAAAAAAAAAGTCAATCATCCTCATCTTTAAACACAATTGAGAGAAAGAATATGTTGAATAAGTCTACATTACTTTAAATTTGTTTTTGTAAGTTTATACTTATCCAAAGATTTGATTTTTGGTCAAAACGCTATCATGCTATAAATCTTATGTATCACATCCATAAACAAATTGCCGAGTTTGAATTCTATTAATGGTGCGAACGTTCCTTATACTTTAATTTTAAAAAAATATTGATACAATATGAACTAAACTAATTCGAAAATATATATTTCATGAACTTATTAGGTACTACATTTAAGGATGTCACATTCTATCGCAGCAGCACGGTCTAACCAATCTCTTTCAAATTAAACGTTAAGCAAAAGAGTTAAGTAAAGTTAAAGGTCCGAGTGATATTTTGTCTTGTCCATTTTTTTTTTTTATAGATAAACGTTAAAAAAATATATATATGGAAAGTGAAAGATACAAGTGGATGAGGTTGTAAAAAAAGATAAAGTGAAAGAATAAAGTGACCCAGAAGTGAATTTTATGCATTTCTTACATCAAAATTATGATAAATTTAGACCGAATAATTTAATTACCAAACAAAATACAAAAGGGACCATTTTTAAAGGTTCCAGAAATCAATTGGAAGGAAAGGCATCTAAAATTGATGATTTTTTTTTTTTAAATAAGACCAAAATTTTACGATTTTTTATTTTTTTATTTTTTTATTTATAATTAGTTGGAATTGGAGTGGGTCCCTACAACCAACCTCTTGCCTGCGGAAGTGGGAAACTATAAACGACAATAGTTTCAATGTCATCATTTCTAATAGATGTTATCTTTGTTGAGGATTATTGGGATTGGGAGTGTCCCACATTGGTTAATTTAGTGGAAGATCATGGGTTTATAAGTGAGGAATACTATCTCCATTGGTATGAGGCCTTTTGGGGAAGCCCAAAGCAAAGCCATGAGAGCTTATGCTCAAAGTGGACAATATCATACCATTGTGGAGAGTCGTGATTCCTAACAATCTTTACAAAATAATTTCTATAAATATTATTTGTTTTCTTTTCTATTTTAAAAGTACTTTATTTCTTAAAGGCAGTGTTGAATATATATATATAAATCTTATGTTTTTACTATAATTATTTCTTTGTTTGGTAAGACACTAAATTTTGGTTTTATTTGAATAATGATGGTGGTTAGCTTTTGTAATAAAATTTATTATCATTTAAATTCGTTTAAATGTAGATTTATTGTGCATAAATTATTTAAAATAAAAATAACAAAAAAGGCTGTCGTTTTCTTTATTTTCATATAAAAACAAAATTTAAAATGAACTTCCTGCGTTGGCCGTTCTTTGAACTCCCCAACAAAGAAAGGGGTTAAATGGTAATTTCAATCTTGGTCCCCTTGATGGGCTCTATATAGAATGGGCTACGTCATCTAGGCCCAAGTTTACTGGTGAAATGTAATGGGCTTCATACCCAAAACTGAGTTTGTGAACCCAAAGTAAAGATTCTTGTAGTTGCAGCTAAAGCCCCAAGGTATCATTTTGGTCAAATTACCCATGCTTAGTCAGTAAAATTTTCAACTATTTACTGTTAATTTTCTTGCCAATAAGTTGGTGTAATTAATTTTAATGACTGACTCCCGTAAAAATTATGTATATATATGTAACAGTCGAAGATCCCACATCGGTTAGAGAGGGGAACAAATCATTTCCTATAAGAGTATAGAAACCTATCTCTAGTAAACACGTTATAAAATTATGAGGTTGACGGCGATACGTAATAGATCAAAGCAGACAATATTTGCTAGCGGTGGGCTTTGACTATTACAAATGGTATTAGAGTTAGACACCAAGTTGTGTGCCAGCAAGGACACTAGGCCTATGAGGGGGTGGATTGTGAGATCCCACAAATTCCTTATGTAAGGGTGTAGAAACCTAGTTAGAGAGAGGAACGAAGAACCGTGAGACTAACGACGATACGTAGCGAGCTAAAATCGACAATATCTACTCGTGGTGGCCTTGAACGGTTTAATTATTTAAAGGGTTGAAGTTTAAGAAAAGGAAGCAAAAATGGATTGGAAAATGAGAAGTAGGGGGGGGGGGG